GTAGCCGGGCACCATCTAGTTCTTCTGGTCTCAGGCTGATGAAGTCTCTGGTTTATGTGGCCCTTTCTGTCTCTTGGGCTAATACTTTCCTTGTTAGACATGCAAATTTTGAGATGCTTATTCAAGTGTTAGATATGCAAGTCCAGAGTTCAGGGCTGGAGATATAAGTTAGGGAACATGAGACTGGATAAATTACCAAATGAGTGAGTGTAGACAGAGAAGAAGTTCCAGAGTGATCTGAGTGAGCCCCAGTGTTTAAAAATTGGGGACATGAGGAGGAACCAGATAAGGTGAGCAGCCAGTGAGGTAGGAACGTTGTTGTTGTTAGGTGCCATCCAGTCGCTTCCAACTCATAGTGGCCCTATAGGACAGAGTAGAACTGCCCCATAGGGTTTCCAAGGAGCAGCTGGTAGATTTGAACTGCCAGCCTTTTGGTCAGCAGCCGAGCACCTAACCGTTATGCCACCAGGGCTCCAAGGTAGGAATAGGGTTCTAACAACCAAGTGAGAAAGTATTTCAAGGAGAAAGTATTCAACTGTGTCTGTTGGTCCAGAAAGGTTGATTAGGATAAGAACTGAGGATTGACTATTAGATCGGGCAACACAAGGTCATCAATGATATTGATAAGGAGATGTAGTGGGTTCAAAGACCTGATTAGGGTAGATAGCACCTGATTTGGCACTAATGAGTAAAGCAACCTTTTCGAGTTTTGCAGTAAAACAGAACAGAGAGATGGGGTAGTCTTGAATGACAATGTGGGATCCAACAAAGTTTTGGGCTTTTTTAGATGGGAGCTATTACACTACCTTTGTATACTGGTGGGTTTGATCCAGTAGAGAGGTAAATTGATGATGCAGGGAAGAAAGAGGTGTCAAATGATACGCGATTTGCTCTAAATAGAAATTTGTGTCAGATCACACTGTGACCTAGCCCTTCCTCCTCTTCCCTGCTACTCTTGGTGGGTAGGTTGGTGGAACAAAGGATACTGGTTCCTCTTCCCGTCTCTGTTTGTCCCCAGTGGTCACAGACAGGGATTCCCTCTCTTCTAGCTCAACTGTGGGGTTGTATCAGTCCACTAGGCCAAAAGACTTGACCCAGGCCCAGTGGGGAGGAACTCCTAAGGGACAAAGGACAGGCTGCCCATGGTACATTGTCTGTTCACTTAGGCCATCTCTGCTGGGTGCCCTCTTCAGAGACTACTGGCTTTTGGACCTGTGGAGAATGCTGGGTCAGTACACCTTTTCCCTCAGGGATGAATCCTTGGAGGGACCAAGTATACTGGGCTGGACAAAGAACCTGCAAAGGACATTCCCCTCAAAAAATAACATCCATCAGACTTCATTTGGGTTAATGAGTATCTTTTTTAAAATACAAATGCCCCTGGAAGGCTAATGAAACTTAGCAGGCATTTTACTCCTTTGAGTAATTTTTCTGACTTAGAGGGGAGGCCTGGTCTTTTCTATGACTTGGGACTTTTTGGGTCAGGCCGGGGTAAATTATCCAATCAGAAAGCACCCTAAGACAAGGGAGATTAAAAAAAAAAAGCAAAACGGAGGCAAGAAGATCCTAAAGATCATTTTTACTTATGTGCTGATTTTGAGATGGCCCAGCCTACTATTGCTGCCCACTCTCAAGCAGCTGGTAAGGTGGAAACAGCATAGGCTTTGAGTCAAAACGGCCTGGGTTTGAATTTGGCTTTACCATTTGTTAGCTGCCTTAGACAACTGCCTAATCTGTTTTTTTCCCTGTAAAATGGGGAGAGGAGATATGTAAAGGAGTAGATCTTTCCAGGGCCCATCTGTGTGTGCTAGCTGAGCATGATAACCAGGCTGGCAGTTCCCCCTATGTCCCAAATAGGGAACAGCAGCCACTTCTTCAATAGGAGGCCAAGGTGGCTTAAAGTTGAGTTGGAGTCCCCAGGAGAGAAAAGTGTACAATAAATGAAATTCAGGGACAGATTACCTAATAAGCAAGGTAGGCGTGGGCTTGATTGTGCTTACTTACTAATCCGTAGTACACAATTTCACCTGGTATCCACCACAGATTAGTAAGTAAGTGCAATTAAACTGGTGCACATCTTGCTTACTGTAAGCCAGTGCATACCGTGCTTCCTGGTTAATCTGCCACTGAATGAGACGGGCGCAGGCACTCTGGGTATCCTAGTGTGGTGAGAGTGAAGAGAGCCAGAGTTTTGGGAGAAGACACACACTCGATGACAGGCAGAAAAATCCAAAGAGAAGTAGACACATGGAGGTAGGAGTTCCCTATTCTGTGTTCAGTTCAGCCAGCCCCTCTCTTCCCAGCCCTCCCACCATACACACCCCTAACTCCACTGCCCTTCCCTTTCTGAGTCTAGTCCTCAGAGATTCAGCCACTCCAGGTTTTGTGCCTCTTGCTACTACCTTGTTTGCAAGCTAAGTCCCTTCCCCCAGTGACATGGACAGGTTGACACACACTAGTGGGTGACACATCATAGGATGACGCAAGGTACACAAGGCGACAGAGTGACACATACACGCATAATCTCCCCATGCACACACTCACCCACCCACCTCCACACACAGTCCCAGACAGCTCTCCAGCCCTCGGTCAACCTTCTAGGTCTCTCCTGCCTGCAGTCGCCACCTCCTTCCTGACATACAGGAGATGAGCTGCTCCAGGTGGGGCTGTGACAAGGTGACTTGATGACTCCTTCTGACCTGAGCTAAATTCCAAGATTCTTTAGAAGGGTTCCTGGGATAACTCCTCAGAACATGGAGTTTCTGCACACGCCGACGCACACAAGCGTGCACCCTCAGAGCCTACGCACGCATTTTCTCACATGCACTCACATTCGCGTTGTCGCGCTTACGATTACACACACACACATATACACACAGAGCCACTTGGGAGCTCCTTCCCGCCCACATGCGCAGACTGCCGCCGCCACAGGCTGCTCTCCGTGGCCGGGCTTGGTGCAGTCAGCTCACCCACCAGCCCACCCCGGGGATTTCCCTGACCACTACCCCACCCCCACTCCCCACCTCCCCAACCCCGGTTTCCCCCTTTTCCTTCCCAGTCCAGCCGTCGGGGGTTCCTGGGTGGGGAGGCATCTCCCCGTAGTCGCTGCCCAGAACCACAACTTTCCTTTCGCCACTCAGGAGAGAGGAAAGAAGGGACGCCAGCGGGCCCCGGGGTGACGTCGAAGGGACAGCCCTACCACGCACAGCGAGGCGGCTAGGCTCCTGGCGGGTTTTCCCCCCGCAGAACATTCTCGCCTCGCCCCCTGGCGGACACTGGTCCCCGACGGGCTCCCGACTCGAGGAGGAGTGAGGCAGGCGCGCGTGGGAGGGCGTCCCAAGGGGAGGGGTCGGCGGCCAATTCAGGCCTGGAGGCGGGGGCCGCCAGGCAGGGGGCGGGGGTGAGCCCCGACGGCCAGCCCGTCAGCTCTCGGCTCAGACCGGCGGGAGCCACGGCCCCGCTCGCCGCCCATTGTCTGCGCCCCCGACCGGTGCGCCCTGGTGCCACGGCGCGGCCCGGCGGGGCAGCCTCCTCCCGTCGCTTCAGCCAGCGTCGCAACTATAAGAGGAGGTGCTGCCCGCTGTGGCCGCCTCAGCCCACCAGCCGGGACCGCTAGCCATGCTGCCCGCCGTCCGCCCCCGGGGCTGAGCCAGACTGCGACCTCTCGCCACTGCCGCCACTGCCGCGTCCGGACCCACCGTCGCAGGCAGCAGTCAAAGCCGCCGCAACTGCAGCACAGAGCGGGCAAGGCCGGGCGGGCCATGGAGTGCTGGGCGCTGCTGCCGGGCTGGGTTTCTGCTACGCTGCTGCTGGCGCTAGCCGCTCTACCCGCAGCCCTGGCCGCCAACAGCAGTGGTCGATGGTGGTAAGTGAGCTGACGCGGGGTCGCCACTTGTCCTGGGGCGCAGAGCCAGGGGGCCGGGTCGACCCAGCTCCCACGCTCTGGAATCCGTCCGCAGACAGGCTCCCTCCAGCTCTCTGACTTCCCGCCGCGACGCCGAGGGGCGCTCTGGCATGGAGCTGCCCCGGAGGCTTCAGCTCTGCGGAAAGCGGGGGCGAATGACCAGCCCGAGGTGGTCAGCGGTGGCCCACGGTACCCCAGGCAGGGAGCCCATTCACATTTAACACTGCCCTTTCTCCTTGTGCCCCGACTCCAGCCTCACGGTGGCGGCCACACCACAGGTTTCCCTGCCGGGGAAGCGAGGGGCCAGGCGTGAGCGCATAGAAGAGGCGAGCAGAGGGTGGGATCCCTAAGATTTAACGCCTTGGGTGGGCAAGGACTGCAGGCCAGGGTTTCCTCGCCCAGGCTGTCCAGACGCAGGCTCAGAGAGCTAAGGTGGCCACTTAGTCTCTGGACTCCCCATCTTCCCCTGTCCTGTCCCCGGACCCACGGCACCAAGCAGCCCTAGGACTCCTGGGCACACGAAGTTTGCGCTTCCAGTTCTTCCAAACTAGGGAGTCCAGGAGCGCGGAGTCATTACCTTATTATTGATCTCCCATCGCTCTGTCTCTGCGCAAATAGCCCCAGGAAGAGGACAGAATGGGCATGGCCTTTTTGGTTAGGGTGCAGGTCCCCCTCCTGAGCCTGAGCTCCTATCATCTGTCTCACCAGGGGCATCGTGAACGTGGCTTCCTCCACGAACCTGCTGACCGATTCCAAGAGTCTGCAGCTGGTGCTCGAGCCCAGTCTGCAGCTACTGAGCCGCAAACAGCGGCGGCTGATACGCCAGAATCCGGGGATCCTGCACAGCGTGAGCGGGGGGCTCCAGAGCGCTGTGCGAGAGTGCAAGTGGCAGTTCCGGAACCGCCGCTGGAACTGCCCCACGGCTCCCGGGCCCCACCTCTTCGGCAAGATCGTCAACCGAGGTGGGTGCCCAGGAAGGTGATGCTTCTGGGATCAGGGGAAACGCGGGGTCACCCCCAGGGCATGGGTGGGCGAGTGCGAGGAAGACGTCCCCGGCAACTGCAGGGTCACACGATCAACCCGCCGAGAGCCTCATGCCCAGCGCGAGCTCTGGGACAGACGTCCTACCAGACGCTCTCCAGCCGTGCACCTTGGGCACGAAGCTTGACTTTTCTGAGCCACTGTTCCAGAGAAAGTAGGTCCCCAGGTCCTGGACGCTGGCTGACTGCCTCTTTCCCCCAGCTTTTTCGAAGGCGCCTGGGAAGCTGCTCTCAGAGCGTGAGTGTCTGTCTCTGGCCCTGCAAGGGTGGCAGCGCGGAGATCGGCCTAAAGTTTGGGCTGCGGAGGGGTCTTGTGGTGCGGAGCTCTTCCACTACCGTCTTTTTTGTTTTTCTCCCTGGGGTTGCCCCACTTCAGCCCTGGGGCCAAAATGAGCCCTGGGCCCAGTAAGGCGTGTTTACGAGCGTGGAAGTCGGAGCGTGCCCACGCATATGCTTTCTCTATGGGACGTAGAGACCAATTTCCCGACCGTGACGGCCACACGGCTCTCAGGACTCGAAGGGCGGACTCCGGGGGCGTGGGACTCTGAAGTCCCAAGCCCTCCGCTGAGGGTGCTGGCCGCCTGCGCCCGCGTGTTCTCTCGCTAATCCCCGCTCCGTTCCCCCACAGGGTGCCGGGAAACAGCGTTTATCTTTGCCATCACCTCGGCCGGTGTTACCCATTCAGTGGCGCGCTCCTGCTCGGAGGGCTCCATCGAGTCCTGCACGTGCGACTACCGGCGGCGCGGCCCTGGGGGCCCCGACTGGCACTGGGGAGGCTGCAGCGACAACATCGACTTCGGCCGCCTCTTCGGCCGAGAGTTCGTGGACTCAGGGGAGAAGGGGCGGGACCTGCGCTTCCTCATGAACCTTCACAACAACGAGGCAGGCCGCACGGTGAGCGCACTTGAGGGGCTTGGTACCCGAGGTGCAGTGGAGGGGATCTTGGGGTCCCTGCGCAGGGGCTAACCTCGGGCTTGGGAAGTAAGAGTCGGTGAAAAGGCAAGGGGCTAGGGTTGGGCCCCAAGAAAAGGCGTCCTGAGGGAGCAGAGCAGAAGGCTTGGGAGGAAGCCAGAGAACGGAAGAGATACTGGCTGCGGGCAAAAGGATGCGTGGGCTGAGGGCAGGTAGAGTAGAAGAGGTTAGAAGTAATACGATCCATAGAATGTGTTCCCTACAGCCCTACATTGTACAGATTGGCAAACTAAGGCCAAGAAACTGAGACTGATTCGCTGGCATGGAGCAGAGTTGGGCCTGGTCCCCAAATCTCTGCGCGACAGTGCGCTTCCCTTCGCCCTGGAGGCTAGGCCTGGGCCTTTGCTGAGGTCCCAGCGGCGTCCGGGAGAGGGCGGCATCTTGGGTGGTGGCTCTGGTTCTAACGGTGCTGGGAACACTCTCTCTTCCCGCTCTCCCCAGACCGTGTTCTCCGAGATGCGCCAGGAGTGCAAGTGCCACGGGATGTCCGGCTCGTGCACTGTGCGCACCTGCTGGATGCGGCTGCCCACCCTGCGCGCGGTGGGCGACGTGCTGCGCGACCGTTTCGACGGCGCTTCGCGCGTCCTCTACGGCAACCGCGGCAACAACCGCGCCGCGCGAGCTGAGCTGCTACGCCTCGAGCCAGAAGACCCTGCGCACAAGCCGCCCTCCCCTCACGACCTCGTCTATTTCGAGAAATCGCCTAACTTCTGCACGTACAGCGGACGCCTGGGCACGGCGGGCACGGCAGGGCGCGCCTGCAACAGCTCGTCGCCCGCGCTGGACGGCTGTGAGCTGCTCTGCTGTGGCAGGGGCCACCGCACGCGCACGCAGCGCGTTACCGAACGCTGCAACTGCACCTTCCACTGGTGCTGCCACGTCAGCTGCCGCAACTGCACGCACACGCGCGTATTGCATGAGTGTCTGTGAGGCGCTGCGCGGACTCGCCCCTGGGAGAGTTCTCCGCCAGCCTTCCCCCCAAAACAGACTCGCTGGCATCCTGTACGCGTCCATCCCATCCCTCCAGCCACACTCCCCTCAGTGCATACGTATCCCGAGTCTTCCACCTTCTCCTACCTGGGGATTCCTATAAACCACTTGCCTGGGGCGGTATGAACCCTCTCGCCACCATAATGGACTCGCCGACCTACCTCCCTCCCTCTCCGTGGGAGACCCTTTGTTGCACTGCCCCCCTGCATGGCCAGGAGGTGACAGAAGGATTCGTCCCCTCCCCCATCCAGGGTCAGCTCCTAACGGTGTTCCTCCGCTTTCTCCACCGCGCCAGCGACCTCTCTGCGTCTTTCCTTCTCCTTTATCCTCCGTTTTCTCCGGGTTCCCACATCCCCCTTCCCATTTTCCTGCCAAGGGTGCAGACCCTGAACTCACACCTGGGCATGAGGGCCTTTCTCCTCCCCATCTACAGCTGAAGAGGGAGGTTCCAGAGTGAAAGGGCAGCTGTGGTGATGTGGAAAATGAGGTTGGGGGGCCCAGCAGAAATGCCCCCATCCTCCCAGCCTCGGTAGTAGAGCCACTGAACAGCTGTGAGCCATGCCTCCCTGGGCCACCTCCTACCCCTTCCTGTCCTGCCTCCTCATCAGTGTGTAAATAATTTGCACTGAAACGTGGACACAAAGCCACGAGTTTGGTTGTTGTAGATAAAACTATTTATTGTGCTGGGTTCCAGCCTGGTTCACAGAGACCACCCTAACCCCAACCCAGTCCCTCTCCATTCTGCTCTCCTTTTACCCTCTACCTTTTTCTGGTCTCTCTTCTACTCTCCAGTCTGTCAAACATGCCTTTGCGTACTGGAATCAGTATTTCCTTCCACTGTAGCTATTAGTGGCCTCTCGCCCCCACCAATGTAGCATCTTCCTCTGCAGAATAAAATCTCTATTTTTATCAATGACTTAGTGGCTTTTCCTTGAATCCAGAACACACCATTGTTTGTGGTACCCGCTTCCCTCTCCTTTGACCACTTCCAGGCTTGGGGAGCTTACTTCTCAAAAAAATAGGTTACAATGCTAGGGGACTGGTTTCCTGGCCCGGAAAGAGGACCCTGAGATTCTGACCCTTGGTTGACCCTAATGAGGCCACTGGGGATCCAGGTCTCCTAAGAGAAGAGCCTGGTCAGGAGCCAAAAGACCCTGCAGGGTTCTTCCTATTCTAACACCAACTGACCACATGATACTGGACAAGTCCTTAACTGTGTCTCAGTTTCTTCACTTGCTGAACAGGAATTAAACAAACAAATTGAGCCTATCTTTCCTACTGGAAGAGTCGTTGTGAAAATAGCTACAATTACGTGTTAGCTGGTTCCTTCTTTGTTGAGCAGAGAAAGAGCTGTGACCACGTTCTGAAAAGTAGAAGGAGAAATCCAAGCAGAAGGGTACTGCTGCCCTCTATGTCGAGCAATTAGTCTCTGAAGCCTGTCTGTGCCAGCTGTGCTCAGGGCATTAGGCAGTAGGGAAGACACTCCCCTCCGCCCCCAGACATGAAACACCTTATGAGGCCCCCAGCTCCCAACCTTGGGCTCAGGAGGATCCAGATAACAGGTGATAGGTTCTAGTCCTGGACCTGAAACCTCAGAGATGACGGTGAAAGAGAAGAAAGGGGCAGGAGTGTTAGAATCCAAATACAGGCTAGACTTAAACCAATGTAACCAAAAGAAAACCCAAGTGTGATCCATAACCAAACCATTAAGTTAGCCATTCCCACCAACAGCCTGAATGAGGATTCCATTAATGTCTTAGTTATCTAGTGCTGCTATAACAGAAATACCACAAGTGGGTGGCTTTAGCAAACAGAAATTTATTTTCTCACAGTCTGGGAGACTAGAAGTCCGAATTCAGGGTGCTGGCTCTAGAGGAAGGCTTTTTTTTTTTTTTTTCTCTAGGGGAAGCACTGGAAGAAAATCCTTGTCTCTGAGCTTCTGCTTCTGGGAGATCTTCATGTGGCTTGGCATCTCTCTTGCCCCAATTTCTGCTTCTTAGTTTGCTTGTTTAATCTCTTTTATATCTCAAAAGAGATTGACTCAAAACACATCCTATAATAATCTTGCCTCATTAACATAACAAAGACAGCCCATTCCCAAATGGGATTACAACCATAGGTAAAGAGGTTAGGATTTACAACACGTATTTTGGGGGGACACAGTTCAATCCATAACATTCCCCCCTTTAGGTCCCAAAAAATTCATATCCTTGCCACATGTAAAACTCATTCACCCCATCACATCATCCCAAAAATCTTAAATCAACTCCAAGTCGAAAATCTCATCTTCTGAATCATCTAAATCAAATATGGGTGAGACTTTAGGTGTATTCCATCCTGGGACAAAATTCCTCTTTAGTCTGTGAACATGAGAAATCTAGACTAGTAGTTATCTGCTTCCAAAGTACAATGGGGGAATAGGCACAAGGTATACATTTGCATTACAAATAGGAGAAATTGGAGGGAAAGAAGGGATAATGGGCACTCAGTAAGTCCAAAACCCAGCAGAACAATTTACATTAGCTTTCAAGACTCGAAAATAATCCTCTGTTCTTAAGCACTATCTGTGCAATGGCCCCACCCTCCAGACTCTGGGTGTTGTCCACACCCTCTGGATTCTGGGTGGAGGCCCCTCAGCCCTGGGCTTCAACTCCACCTTCAAGGCCCACTGGGATGGCACTCTGTTCTCTCAGTTTTGGATGGCCCCATTCTCCTAGTCCATCTCAGTGGCGGCCCCACCGCCTTGGCCGCAGCAGGCCCCATTCTTCTACCCCTTGAGCATGGCAGCCCTGTCCCCTCAGCTTTGGGCAGCGGTCCCATCCCCCTGGCACACCTTAACAGTAGCCTCACACTCTGGAACTGAACTGGCAAAGATATGACTCTTTGAAAACCAGGAGGCTTCTGCCTCACGCTTTGAGAGCCAGGAGAACACGGCCCCACCCTTTGAAACTGCAAAGGCCCTGATTTCCATGCTCCTTCCAACAGTTTTGCTGATCTCCGAGCTGCTCCAGGGATGGTCCTTTTCTTTTCTCGGAGGACAACAGATGTAGCTCCTTTGGCCTGTTTCCTGCCTGTAGAATTCTAAGAGGCAGACAGCGTTCTTTCCGTTTGCTCTATCTCTGTCCCCTTTAGTCTCAGATGATGGATTTTCTGCTGTGGTAGTTGGTTAGATCCACCAGTCACAGGCTTAATCTCTTTAACAAAAGATTGTGTAGCCACAGCCTTGGTGAACATTCTAGGGCATGTGTCCTTAGTTTGTTCAACAGAATTTTCCAAACCTTTGAGCACTGTTTTCATTTTGCACAGTTCGTTTTTCAGTCCATCTCTTTCCTCTCACATTTTACTATAAGCAGCAAGGAGAAACCACATGGCCTCTTTAAGATCTTGCTTAGAAATCTCTTCAGCCATATATCCAACTTGATCACTGTCATGGATTGAATTATGTCCGCCAAAAAATGTGTGTATCAGTTTGGCTGGGCCATGATTCCTGGTATTGGGCGATTTTCCTGTATGTTGTAAATCCTGCCTCTATGATGTTAATGAGGGAGGATGGGTGGCAGTTGTGTCAGTAACGCAGGACTCAATCTACAAGATTGGATTGTGTCCTGAGGCAATCGCTTGAGATATAAAAGAGAGAAGTGGGCAGAGAGACAGGGGGACTTCATACCACCAAGAAAGCAGTGCCAGGAGCAGAGCGTGTCCTTTGGACCCTGGGTCCCTGTGCAGAGAAGCTCCTATTCCAGGGGAACATTGATGAGAAGGCCAACAGAAAGAAAAAGCCTTTCCCTGGAGCTGACGCCCTGAATTTGGACTTTTAGCCTACTTTACTGTGAAGAAATAAATTTCTCTGTTAAAGCCATCCACTTATGGTATTTCTGTTGTAGCAGCACTAGATGACTAAGACAATCACAAGGTCTACCTTCCACCAAACATTTGAGCATAATTCAGAAGAGCATAGTTCTTCGCCACTGCATAAAAGCATCACTCTTCTTCCATTGTCTAATCACATGTTCATCATTTTCTTTTAAAGCCTTACCAGAAGCACATTTAATGTCCACATTTCTAGCCACTTTATGTTGCTGACACCATATGTATTCTCTAAGAGGATAGAGACTTTCTCTATAGGTACGCTCACTTCCTTCTGAGCCCTCGTCAGAATTCCCTTTGATGTCCATAATTCTACCAACAGTCTCTTTAAGGCAATCTAGCTTTTACTATTGTTGTTGTTAGGTGCTGTCGAGTCGATTCCAACTCATTGCTGCCCTGCATACGACAGAACGAAAACACTGCCCGGTCCTGCGCCATCCTCACAATCGCTGCTGTGTTTGAGCCCATTATTACTATTAGGCACCTTAAAACTCTTCCAGCCTCTACCCATTATCCAATTTCAAAACCATTTCCACCTTGTATGCATTTGATAGAATAGCACCCTCATGTCTCAGTACCAAATTCTGTCTTAGTTACCTAGTGCTGCTATAACAGAATTACTGCAAGTGGGTGGCTTTAACAAACAGAAATTTATTTTCTCACAGTTTAGGAGGCTAGAAGTCTGAATTCAGGGTGCTGTCTCTAGGAGAAGGCTTTCTCTCTGCGTCAGCTCTGGAGGAATATCCTTGTCTCTTTGAGCTTCTGCTCCTGGGCAATCTTCATGTGGCCTGGCATCTCTCTTCCCCCACCTCTGTTTCTTAGTTTGCCTGTTTAATCTCTTTTATATCTCAAAAGAGACTGACTCAAAATACACCCTACACTAATCCTGCCTCATTAACATATCAAAGACAACCCATTCCCAAATGGGATTATAACCAGAGGCATAGAGGTTAGAATTTACAACGTATTTTGCGGGGGGCACAATTCAATCCATAACAATTACTAACAACATCAATACCTCTATGTGCACAGTGACCAGAGTTGGCAGGAGTCCTGATCCTGCCCACAGCCCTAAACCTATCTCTAACTCTAATCCTCTCTCAGTCCCTAGGTCTAACCTTAGCCTTAACCCTAACTTTAGAGAAACACTAACCCCTTCCCAAGCTCTCATGTCTGTCCCTAATCCAAACCCCTCCCCCGCCAGGGGAGGACCAGAAGGGCAGAGGGAGCTGTGAAGCACCTCACCACCCCCCACAAGGCAGCAACTGATCCCAGCTAACTTGAGAATTTCCCCCTCTCCCCAGGACTCTTTTGCTGTTGTCTCTGCCTCCTACCTCTCCTGGATGTATGAACTCTGATCCCTATTTGCCTTTGGGATATGTGTGTGGGTAGGGGACTGGAGCCAAGAGCTGCTCAGCCCTGCAATGACATCCCTTTCCCTTTCTATCCATCCACCAAACTAGCACCAGCTCAGCACTGGGGGGCAGCCTAAGGGGAGGGACAAAAGCCTTATTGATCCTGGGTAGAAGAAGCCACCTGAAAGGCCTTGGTTTCCAGTAAAGAACATCCTGCAGAGAATGCCCAGTATATAACCCAAAGAACTCTTAGATCCCCCAGCTCCCAAAGCCAGAAGTTAATGGGCTGTCAGAGGCAGGAGATGGGGCTTTGGTCCCTGCTGGACAATGCTCAGAGTTAGGAAGAAGCAGCAGGGTTGGGAGTGAAAGGGTTGGCAGATGTCTCCAATCATTCTCACCTAACACCTAACTCCAAGAATTAGTATTAGCTTTGAGTCCTGGACATTGCGGGGTTCTGTGCTGAGCTGACACATAGGAGTTGGAAGAAGAAGGAGGGAAAGGAATGAATTCAGCTCTACCTCTGAGTAGGCTTTCAACAATTCTCTTGCTTTCTCAGCTTCAGTTGCCTTGTCTATTAAACAGAGATGGTTATCTCTGGTTGTAGCTACTTAGTCTTACCCTTCAGAGAGATGAGTTTCACATGAGACAATGTATGTGAAAGCCTGGGACATTTGAACACTTCCTGAC